CCACGATTTGGTGTAGTAATCCTAATACAGAAAAAGTCAATATGGCATAGGTATATTACTGCTTTTTCTGTTGCTGAGCTATTTGTCACCATATTTCACCTTAAAAGGTATTTAATTAATCACTCCTTAATCACTCCTTAATCATTAAGGAGTTTACAGGGCACTGTCCATTTCCGCAACCTCAAAGTACTGTTTATCCATTTAATCAAATGAGATTTACGGTAGCACTAACTTTTGTTGTTGCAATAGTACCACAGTTAGACAGTATTGCTCAGTACAGGGACAACAGCAAAGGCTATTGATGTGGCTGTTTGAAAATGCAAATTAATCCTTGTTACCATTTCTCCAGCAGGATGTGATGATTCTGATTTAGAAAAGTCACCTGAATTTCAAAATAGTTACATTATTCACCAAACTGCAAAGTTATAAAATATGAAATGCTAATATCTCAGATATTTTTATAACTTCAAGGATTTTATGGCATAACAGCGACTTCTTTAAAATATTAAGTCCTCTGAAATTTTTGGAAACGGCATTAAAAAAAAGTATTGTTTAATACACTGTAAAAGAAAAGAAAAAATTGCTAACCAGTTTTTCTGCTAAAGAATCTGCAGTTTCCTGTTGCTGTAAGCAGATACAGAGGTCCACACTCCACAGTCACTTCATCAGTAACAATCTGCAGCAATTCCTTTGAAGTTAGTACAGTTAAACAGCTGTAAAACCAATGTTACTGAAATAAAATCCAGACCTACCATGGCCATGCTTTGCACCATGTACCACACTCAACTCTCATGCTTCTTTCAGATTCTCACTGTTGTTAATAGTAAAACAATAGTATCTCAGATACTACAGAGTGATAACCACTGGTAAATTTACGTTCTTTATAGTGGTGACCACTGTGACTGAAGAGTAGCAAATGCAGTCAGCATGCATGACTCGTCTTGCTCAGAGCCACGCAAGGCAGGAGTATAGCTAAGAGACCTTTTGACAGCCAGCACAATACTCATTCCTCTAGAGCATATTGCATGCATCCTATACATATTCAGTTCAGTTAGAAAAAAAGTTTTTTCTACCAATCAGGGCAGTGTATGAAAATAATTCCATCTCTCCATGCTGCATGCATCATGATTATGGATGTGCTGAAGCACCAATAATCAATCTCAGTTACTGGAGAACGTGTTGTCACTTGCTGCCCTTAGTCATGCAAAGTGTTGTACAAAGCTGCAGAAGTAATACAGCTTGATTTTCATGAAGGTATTATTGTACATGAAGTACTGAGAGGTTATACATTATGATAGGAACACAAGCTGCTCGGTGCTGTTCATTTTGCTGTGTTTTTATAAATTATTATAGAAGTAAAAGATAAGCTGCGTGGCTACACTGTCAGCTAGGGTACCTTGGGTTTTTCTCCCACTTTCTTCCACCCATCCAAGAAACTTGCAGAGGTGGCATTATCATTTTTTCCTCCTCACAATGAACTGTTTTCTTTCTGCAGGGATTAGTTTAAAATGATCCAATCCATATCCTATAAAATTGACATCTCTTTGCAAGTTGTAAGTGGCAGCTGGCAACAGAACAGTTCAGAGGTGCAGAGATCGTCCTTATTAAGCAAAACAACCAAACATTCATTTGCATCCCATTTACCTTGAAGAAACTTCAGCACAGGTTTAATGTTAAGCACGTGCTTAGTGTTTTGTTGAGTTGTAAAAGCCTGAAAAGGCTGCTCTTTCAGCAGCAAAAAGAAGCCTAAAACTCAGCAAGTGCTACTGAATTGAATTCCAATGAGTACAAAATAAATTAATTCGAAGGGTGAAAAAAATCTCCTAAGTCTGCGCCTCGTGCCAAAGATTTTGTTACACCCAGAACTGTAAATCTGAGGAAGAGTAAATTGGCTAATGACAAGACCCAACCTGTGCAATTATATAGGGCCTTCTCAAAGTCTGATATTTCCTTTTAGAGTCTGTATTTTTTAGGCTACAGGCTGAAATGAAGCACACTATTAAACTGCCACTTCTGGGTATTAGGTTGTTCATGGCTTCTCTCTATTTTTGTCACCCAAGGTTGCAATGATTTTCTCAGGGATTTTTGTTGTTATTGCTAGTCCATAGTATAGCTAGGTCATAGCATTATTTTGAATGATCTTGAGTTCAGCTCAAGATTGGCAGTAAGAACAAATTAGATCATAGCTCTTCTGATAACCCCATATGCAGAAAAGGAAAATATAATTGCATTTTTGTTTCATCTTTCATGTTTACAGCACTGGTGTCATTAACCCGTCCATACCCTGAGAACATACAGGTTTATTTGCAACATCTTGTAACAAGAATGAATGAATGAATGAATAACAATAATGTTATTTAAAAAATCCTCTTGGTTTTGGTTTGTCTTAAATACCTTAATAGAATGTATGCAAAATTCCAATTTGAGCAACTGGAGTTCTGTTTCCATGGGCTCAGTAACAGTGATTATGAACCTTGCCATTGGTCCTTGTAAAGTACTT